GGGGCCCAAGGAGGTTGCCTATCTTTGCCTAGTGCTAAGTCCGCCCCTGCATCTACATTAATAACTATCCCAGAAAATCTACACATACTTCATACCTTGGTTCTGTGAATCCACTGGAATTACTGTGATTTCTGTGACTGTATGGTCTGATCCTGATCCAAATTATAATGCTAAACATGTTCTGTCTAAAATAATAGCACAACACCAATTGTATTTTTAAAAAAGCTTTATTAAAACACATTGATAAACCACTCAGAGTCCAGGCCACTCTTTCCTCTCGTCAACCAGTTACTGGAGTTTTCCCACCACACGGGCCTCTGCTGCTTAAACTCTACGAGTTGAGCTGGTTAATTGTGTGAGTGGAGTGGTGTTTGTGTCTGGAGGTGTTTCAGCATGCTTTGGTTTGGGCATATGAGGTGATAATGTGGGTTTAGTAGATCTGTTCATCAGCATGGACTTTATTCATTGCTCTCTATAGCTGTTCCCACACTGACCTCTGTCCTAAATGGCACATAACCAGCTGGAACGTAATGTAGTGAAATGTTTTTCCTTAATGCCTCATCCCACAATGCAACAATAATACATAATAAAAACAGCATATAATAAAAATCTAGTAGACTATATGATAAGTTTAGCAGCCTTTAGAGGAATGAAATGTAGAATATGAATATGCATAAATAGAATACGTTTAAAAAAAACAAAAAACAAACATATACAGAGTTTTAGTGTGCAAAAAATTGTTTTCTCATAGTGCAACTGTTTCTGTATAGAAATATGTGTAAGTTTCCATGCTATTCACGTTGCTATGGTTACAATCTCAAATTTACTGGTGCCAATGAATAGAATAAAAATGACCTCTGAACCGAAGAAATGAAAATTAATTAATTAATTAACTACTCAGATTGTGAAACAAGAAAAATTATCGAACTGTACAGTAACTATTTGCATATTTTAGTATGCAAACAAAACAATGCCATAACCAATAAGAAAAAGAAAAATAAGACCTAATAAGAAAATAAGAAAAAAACAAGATGTCTGGCAGATGATAAAGCAGCGGTCAATAGAGCAGAGGGTGGATTAGGAGGTGAGACAGTTGACGAAGTGAAGGAAAAATGGAAACAGCGCTCCGTTTCTATCCGTTACATGGTGCAACTGTGGTGAAAACTCGTCAATTAATTCCAACAATTCAGCCCTGCTGAAAAGAAATCTTTCTCTATCTTCTCTATATAATATATAAAGTTCTCTATCTCCGTATATATCCCGAGGATTGGTGCGGTCTCTCATTATTCTTTCACCCCTGAAAGCCCTCTGATCGTGTAGCCTGAAAATCAGACACACCATTGTATCAATGTTTTTATTTTCATTTTGGAAACTAGTCGAGACTTTTCACTTTACCTTTGACTAGGCGTAAGATTTAGTCTAAGACATAGCACTACGCCTAGATGGTGCAACAGGTATTAGCTCTACGTAGGAGGCAAGGTGTATTTTACGTCCAGCTGGTGCATCCGACCCCTGTTATGTGACAGGTTTTCCATTCGGTAATTAGGCTGAGCCAGGCTAAATAAATCAAATTATTACTGAAAATGTTATTTATATTCATTTGTATTACAGAGGTATTCTTCATCTTCAGGTTCTTCCTTCTTTAGAAGCTTCTTCTGGAATCCTTCATTGTGCTGTTCCATAGGAGTGACGTGAACCACAGAGACGGATGTCCCTCCACCTGGAGTTCAATAATTTAAATTTAAGTACAAACAATTAATGGATGAAGTCCAAATCCACAATCCAAAAATACTGGAATGTGGTAATTAGGCTTATTAGATTAAATAAATCATTAAATTGTGTTAATTATACCCATACTTGTATTACAGAGGTATTCTTCATCTTCAGGTTCTTCCTTTTTTATAGGATCGTTTAAGTAGCTTCCATTCATTTGGTCCACAGAGATGATTTGTTTTACAGATACGTTTGATATGTTTGCACTTGAAATTGTAGGCACATTCTCACAAAGCTATCACAGAACAACAATACACATTTAGCCAAGATATAACTTGTTTATAGATTTTTTAAAAATTGCTTGTGACACCACTCCTACCTAACCATACTGACAACCGCAGCTCCTACCAAGACCTCTCGATCTTTGAGATATGTATTATCTGCCTATCTTAGCTCTACAGATTTTCCCCCTACCACTATGTCACACTATGTCACACTTTTGGAATTACGTTCTATAGTTATTATAGTCAAGATTAAAACCATTAGAGACCACTGGACACCGTTACAAGCACTTCCTAAGACAGCGCATCCCAAACTAGGGGTCACTTGATTTACAACTGGGGTCCTCTTTTGTTTTATTCATTTATTTTTCAAATCATTCCCAAAGTTACTGGGAGTCGCATTTTTTCATGCCACACTGAATTTTAAAAACCTCTCTTGTAACGTGCTCAGCTGTTTCAATTTCCAGACTCATATTTCCCGATTTTATACAGAGAATAGTTTAAAGCAGAACGCCCAAGCCGAAGTCTAGCTATAATCTGTATCTTCTCATCTGTTACCAAAATTTCTTCTTTCACTACCAACCTGTTTTTTGCATAAGATACAAATATCTTCCCCTTTCTTCCTCATCCCAAACTTTCTTTTTATAGCCAGCCATTCTGATTAAAGCCTCAACTTCTGTTTTACTTAATGGGATATTTCTCTCTATATTAGAACAGATGGTCTTCCTCCTCATCTCCATCCACCCCAACATGTAATCTACCACTTCATGCAAAAGTAAATCTAGAAAGAAAAGAAAAGAGCCAGTGTTTATGTCAACACAATGCAGTTTCAACTACTAACTGCTAGGTAAAACATCTGTTTACTGATCCTGTAGACTATTAAAGACATGGATTTTTGTAAAGTAAAACTATTTCTTTGCTTGCTTTTTAGAAACTAAAGGGAAAAATGTATCTTGGAATAAACAACAGCAATCACTGCATCAGTTCAGGTATCCAAGGCTAAATGGCATGCTGGCTAAGATATAAACTACTTTATATTTATTTAGATAAAGAGGGCAGAAGCTAACGTTAAACTAAGACTGATTCAAAGACACCATATGCACAAAACACAAGTTATATTACGCATTAATTCACCTCCAGCCTGAACAAGCCCTCTCTCTGAGGTAAACTTCAGTTTGTTGTGTCCGTTAGTGCAGTAGCGCGCATGCGCATGTGTGCGCGTCCGCGTGATCCCGCGCGATCCCGCGCGCTCATGGCGATAAACCGTTAAACCGCCATTTTTTAAATGTATTTATTTATTTATTTATATTTAATTTTTTATTTATTTATTTTTGTGGTAGGTGATTGTTATTAGTTTTCGAGTCCCTGGCTCGGAACTGAAATTTTTTTGTTTTGTTTTGTTGTTCTTCTTGTTTTTTTTAAAAAGTAAACTTTAGAATGAGTTTTAAAGCTAATCAGGCGAACGCCGTCGACTACTAAACAAACTGACCAATCAGCTGTCTCGCTGTTTTTTTTCTCTTCGTCAGCGAATCACAGTCAAGGCAGAAAACCTCGGATGTACACAGATGAGAGCTGTGTTACCACAGGGATATTCTTGATTGCTTGCTTGCTTGGCCTGAGATGTGAAATGAGTTTATTCATGTTCTAAATTAAAATCGTCTTGTTGTAATTGAATTGAAATATTCGGGGGAATATTTAGCGATGGGCAGAATGAAGCTTTTGAGATAGTAACACTTGACCCCTGGCTCTATACTGACATTTGCTGGACAATAAAAATACTTACAGCGCTCAAGTGTCATATGGACCTGGTCTGATGTAAACCCAGTCTGGCCAGGTGATCTGAACCATCCATCCATCTTCTGTAACGCTTATCCTACACAGGGTCACGGGGAGCCTGGAGCCTATCCCAGGGGACTTGGAGCACAAGGCGGGGGACACCCAGGACAGGGTGCCAACCCATCACAGGGCACAATCGCACACACACACACTACAGGCAATTTGGAAATGCCAATCAGCGCATGTCTTTGGAGTGGGGGAGGAAACCAGAGTACCCAGAGGAAACCCCCAAGCCAAACATGCCAACCTGTGATCTGACCCTTGAGGGACATTTATCAGTAAGATGTTTCTCCGCCTCATTTGCATTTTCTGACTTGTCAAACCCAAGAAGATTAAACCCTGGGTCCAGTGTGGCTAGTGCCAGCACACAAACACAATCCACAATTTTACACCATGTTCCAAGTTGTTTCTCAAATGTTCTGGCCAGGGTTGTCATTTGGACTGCCTTCTCCACCACCCTGTGCTGTTCACAGTGCTGGTCACCCTACAGATGTCACCAGAAGTGCCATCTGACCAAACCCAACAGCCTCTCCTCTCTTGAGTAGATACCTGTTGCAGTAGCTTGCAGTCTTTCTGAAGGACTAGCTCTTCTGTGGTTAATAATAACTGGTTGTATTGATAAGTGATATTGAACAGGTAGCGGAAGGAAGCAGGCCATTTATTTTGATTACTCCTTTTCTCCTGTGGATAGGGAGATGGGGTAAATTTTTGTGTTTTCTCTTTCTTTTAAGTTACTCACCTTATTTTGTAATTTTTAAAATAAATTATCCAAAAAATTTATTTTGGTGTATGCTCATCCCTGAAGTACCTCCCATCCCACAGTTTCAAAGACCTTTGTCAATAAAATCTCACTGATAGTTGATATCGAGTGCTCAGTGTTTTGGTCTGGTGAGAAGGGGATCCAGTCTCTCATTCATGTTGCAGTCCAGCCTAGACTAGTAGCCTAGTTGCAGTCCAGCCTAGCTGTAACATCCTATAAACAAACACAATCACATAGCCTCTGGGTTTGAAAAGAAGTTGTTCTTCTTTCGGCTGCTCCCATTAGGGGTCACCACAGCAGATCACTGGTCCATATATTTGATTTGGCACAGTTTTTATGCTAGCTGCCCTTCCTGACACAACCCTCCCCAATTTTATCTGGGCTTGAGACCGGCACTGAGAGTGCACTATTGCACTGGCTGGGAATTGAACCCAGGTCACAGTGGTGAGGGCGCTGTGGCCTAACCACTAGCCCTCCAGGGACCCTGGGTTTGAGAGGAAGTAACATGAAATAAATATAAATCTATCCGAATTATTTAGAAGGAATGAAAAGTATATTTAAGATGAAATAAAAGAATCAAAAACTACGAATATGCCAGGTTACAGGAGTACATTTTTAATCTGGATTTAAAAACATCTAGCATTCCTACTGCTACCATTTCTACTGTTCTCTCAAACACTATTTAAGGGATGACAAGAAAGACATCTTCCACTGAATAACCACATTCTGCATGCCTTGCTGGAGGTATGTAAAATAAGTTAAAATGGTAAACTTTGTTGTTCCACAATGGTCAATAGGGCCAGTGTTTTTTTTTTTAAAATTATATATACTACATTTGAGTACAATCATTTGTAAACATGGTCTTAACTTCCACTGCTATGCTGATGACACACAGCTGTATGTTTAAATCAAAACACATATCAGACCCCAGGTTAATTAGGTTGAGGAATGTACAAAGGACTAGTTAACAATTAATACCATGTTGTCTATTAAAAAAAAAAAAACTCTCTTGTGTTTGTCCAGCCACATTCTGAGCAGTGATACAGCATCTTCTCCTGTTTGATTGTGCTGGTGTTGTTGAAGAGCACGTGTCGTTAAAGTTCTTCCCATGCTGTATCCTGATATAGTTTCTTCTTAGTGTGAATGCGCTGGTGTTGGTGGAGAGTACTCTGCTGACTAAAAGTCCTCCCACACTGTGAGCAGCCATAGGGCTTCTCTCCAGTGTGAATGCGCAGGTGCTGTTTGAGAGTACCATTCTGACTAAAACTCTTCCCGCATTGCGAGCACTGATATGGCTTCTCTCCTGTGTGAATGCGCTGGTGTATTTGGAGAGAACTCTGTCGGTTAAATGTTTTACCACACTGTGAACAGTGATGGAGCTTTTCTCCTGTGTGAATGCGTGTATGTGATTGTAGAGTACCGTGTTGAGTAAAACTTTTCCCACAGTGTGAGCAGTGATACGGCTTCTCTCCTGTGTGAATGCGCTGGTGTCGTTTTAGAGTACTATGGTGACTAAAACTCTGCCCACACTGCGAGCAGTGATACGGCTTCTCTCCAGTGTGAATGCGCATATGCGATTGGAGATTTCTCTGCCTGTTAAACCTCTTCCGACATTGTGAGCACTGATATGGTTTCTCTTCTGTGTGAGTGTGCTGGTGCTGTTGGAGAGTACCATGTTGACTAAAACTTTTCCCACACCTTGAGCAGTAATATGGCTTCTCTCCTGTGTGAACGCGCTGGTGCTGCTGGAGAGAACTTTGTCGAGTAAAAATCTTTCCGCACTCTGTGCAGCGATACGGTTTCTCTCCTGTGTGGATGTACTGGTGTGATCGGAAAGTCCCTCTGTCGCTAAAACGTTTCCCGCACTGTGAGCACTGATATGGCTTTTCTCCTGTGTGAATGTGCAGATGTTTCTTGAGAGTATCTTTATGACCAAAACTCTTCCCACAGTGCGAGCACTGATACGGCTTTTCTCCTGTGTGAATGCGCTTATGTGATCTCAGACTACTTTGGTGGACAAAACTTTTCCCACATTGTGAGCAGTGATACAGCTTCTCTCCTTTGTGAATGCGCTCATGGACCTTCACATCACTCTGTGTAGAAAAACTCTTCCCACAGTGGGAGCAGTTATACGGCTTCTCTCCTGTATGGTGTGATTTGAGCTGAGGACCATGAACTTCACACTTGTTAATACAGAAGGATTTGCAGACCTCACAGTCTAGAAAGAGAGGACACAAGCAATTCGATTAACTGTTGTTACCTAGAATATTTTTATTCCTTCTTTTCTAATATAGGCATTGTCACTGAATTACAAAAAAAAAAAAACACTCATACATTTCATGTTTTCCTTAAGAACATTTTAGAATCTTCATGTATGTCATCATGTAATATGTACAAGATTATTTTATTCATTGCCCATTTAAATAGAAAAAGAAAGTAAAAATTTGACATTCAAACGAATGCCACCTTATTTCCCGTTGTTACAGCGATGCCCAAAGCATATTGATATACCACCATGGAGTCTCATGGATGTACCCATCATTGAGGTGATCAAGATGGACATGAAGGCCATGTAGCTGGCCATGTGGGATATCTACGGACATGTGACTTTACTCTTACTTTCTCAGCATTTCTCCCCAAAACCCAAGTCAAAGTTCTGTGCCCCTTTCCCTTCCTCCCCTCTATCTCTCTTTGTCCAGACTGGACCACCACTAGAGCTGCACTGCAGGGAGCCTGGGGACCTAAAGCAAAAGTGATCTGTTATGGAAGGGGGAGCAGTGGACTGGATCCCAGCCATGCAACAATACTTCCTCGATCATACTGGCGTGCACCACAAACCCAAGAGTGTTCAAGGTAGTACATATAAGATCTTGGTGAATTTACGATCATAATCAGACGTCAATCCTTGAAAGCCCGATTTAATGAAGGAGGTTTGAGAAAGCATTTATGTGCACAGGGATATTCCTAAATATCCTATGCTACCTGTCACTACAGGTTATCAGAGACAAATACATAGTGTTAGAGTAGAGACAGCACCTGACTTATCTGCTAATCTTGGTAACCAATTGGCCAATTTACAGGAAATGTTTGCGGATGGGACCTGGGGGTGAGGTTTGCACATACTCTCTGTAGTCTCATTAACAACAGTGATAACTCTTAATCTACATAAAATGGGCATCCATCAGACATCTTGCAAAGAATCTGGAATGGTGTACAGTGGCAGGTACACCAACTGCGTTTCTCAAAGTTTGACCTGTTAAATAAAACTGACTTTGCTAAACCACCAAACCTCAATCAGTAGGATGAAATGGCATTGATGAAAAATTACTTTATTCCAGTTTATAAAATGCACTACATGGCCAAAAGTATGTGGACACCTGACCATCACACTCATATGTCCTTGTTGAACATCTCATTCCAGATTTATTCCCCTTTGCTGTTATAATAAGCTCCACTCTTCTGGGAAGTCTTTCCACTAGATGTTGGAGCGTGGCTGTGGGGATTTGTGTTCATTCAGCTACAAGAGCATTAGTGAGGTCAGGCGCTGATGTTGGGATGTCGAGGAGGTCTGGGGTGCAGTCGGTGTTCCAGTTCATCCCAAAGGTGTTCAGTGGGGTTGAGGTCAGGGCTC